TGAGGTCATAAGGATGGAGCCTTAATCCAGTAGGACCAGTATTCTTTTAAGAAGAGGAAGAAACATCAGGAATGTATGTGCAGAGAGAAAAAGCCATGAGAGGACACAGCAAGAAGGTGCCTGTCTGCAAGCCAAGGAGAGAGGCCTCACGGGACGCCAAAACTCCTGGTACCTTAATCTTGGACTTCCAGACTCCAGAACTACGAGAAAATAAATTTCTGTTTTTTAAGCCACACAGTTTGTGGTACTCTGTTTCAGCAGCCCTAGCAGACTATTATAAGTTCCAGTTTGGGCTTCAGTGTGTAGTATTTGTGAGACCTCTAAGACCTAGTTAGACCTTCAAATACCCAGTTTTGGGGTGGTTGTAGGGATTAAGTGAGCAAATAAGTGACTTTTAGTCAGTACCTGGTATGATAACTGTTTAATAAATCTTTTTCATAAGCCTTAAAAGGGGCTATAAGTTATTTTAACAGAGCTGTCATTTATGGTTTTGTTTCTTATTTAATCAGATAATTCTAACCAAGCATTTACATATCAAAGCAACAATAAGAAATTCTTTCTGGGTAAACTGGGTTGGGATTTTTCTTAACAGTTTTATTCAGGTATAATTCATATTCTGTAAAATTTACCTATTTAAAGCTTACAATGGTGTATAACCATCACCACAGTCCCTCTTAGAACAGTTTTATCACCTCAAAAAAGAAAACCCCCTACCCTTCAGCTATCCTCCTCCTAACCACCCCAACCCTAAGTACTAATGTACTTTCTGTCTCTAGATTTCTCTATTCTGGATTTTCATATGAATGGAATCATATAATTTGTGGCTTTAGGGCTTACTGGCTGCCTCTATTATTTCTTTCACTATTTTTTCTGCTCCCTCTCTCTCCTCCTCTCCCCTCCTCATCCCTCCCTCTGGCGTTCCCGTTATGTGTGTGTTGGTGTACTTAATGATCTCCCACATTTCTCTAAGGCTTAGTTCATTTTTCTTTATTCTTTTTTCTCTTTGTTCTTTGGCTTGCATAACGTCTGTTGCTCTGTCTTCAGATTCACTACTTCTTTCCTTCTGCCAGTTCACATTTATGGTTGAGAGCCCTTTTGGTGAATTTATTTCAGTTGTTAGTTTTCAACTCTGGAATTCCCACTTGGTTTTTTTTTTAAATATACATAATTCCTATATTTTTATTGATATTCTCTATTTGATGTGACATTGGCATAATACCTCCCTTTACCTCTTTAATCATGCTATTAAAATTTTTCGTGGACCTATTTGTAGTGGCTGTTTTGAATTCTTTTTCTGTTAAATCCAATACCTGGTCATTCTCACTGGCAGTGTGTGTTGCCTGCTTTCTGCTTTATGGGTCAGAAAGAAATCTGCTGGGGTACCTGGGTGGCTCAGTCGTTAAGCGTCTGCCTTCGGCTCAGGTCATGATCCCAGGGTTCTGGGATCGAGCCCCATATCGGGCTCCCTGCTCAGCGGGGAGCCTGCTTCTCCCTCTCCCACTCCCCCTGCTTGTGTTCCCTCTCTTGCTATCTCTTTCTGTGTCAAATAAATAAATCTTTAAAAAAGAAAGAAAGAAAGAAAAAGAAAAATCTGCTTTCCTGGTTCTTTGCATGCTTCACAATTTTTGTTGGAAATTATTTTAGATAGTATTGTAGCAACTTTGAGCACTGGTCCCCCCTCCCAGGGTTCATTATTTATTTGTTTTTTAGTGATTGCCTGGGTTATTTTAGTGAAGTCTACCCTCTACCCCCATTGTGCCTATTGTTTTCACCGGTACTCTGGGGCATATATTGTTCTACCATCTAACCCAGTCAAATTGTGGCTTCTTTGAAGGAATAATTTCTGAGGTCTGTGTTTGATACTTGTTCTGACCCCAGGAGAGATCGCCCAGCTGTCTTGTTTCCTGTAAACTAGGCAACCTTTATTGTAGGCTGTATCTTCATTAAATCCATGAATCTCCTTCCACTTAGGTTTGAGCTTCTTAGTTCCTTTGGGAAGAGATCAGGAGCTTTTTTTATGACATGCCTTACCCTTTCCAGCCCCCTTAGTAAAAATTTTGAGTCAGAGTTCTGGAGCTGGGGGTGGGAACAAAGGCAAGCTTCTCTCTGGGTGACACCCCCACTCTAGAAGTTGGGTAAGAGGTGGGGGAGGGGGTGGCAGCAGCCTGAGGTACTTTAGGCTTGCCTCTCTTGGCATAGAACCATTGCAGTGTGAGCCAGAGCAAAGATGATCAGGGCACTGTGCCCAACATGAAATCCCCATTCCACAAATGGGGGCAGGGTCAAGGAAAGGAGCTCCCATCTCTTGACTACCCCTGCCTGGAATTTAGGCTCTGTACAGGCTTCTTAGGCAGAAGGCTGGATGAGAAACACTGCTGTCCTGCTCTTCTCAGGAGGTCTCCCTTTGACTGCGAGCTGAAGGTGAGACCGCTTGTGTTCTTGGCTGCAGCAGTCTAGAGTGGAATCTCTTCCTTGCTGAGCTTGTTGGAGGTAGCAGTCTTGGTTTAGGCACCACAGACTCACACCTTTCTTACCAAATTTTTGTAGATTTTCTTGAATAGAAGTTCCTTCATTTGCTGTTTACCCTTAGGGACATTTCAGAGGCTTTACGTGTTTTCTTTCTGCTTTGTTTTTATTTTAATAATTTCCACCAGTTTTATTGCCGAGGGAGTCAGTGGACCTCTTTATGCTGTCATTTCAGAAGTTGATCTTTCTGGGTTGGTTTTTTAAGGCTTCTGCAGGAGGACGTACAAGTAGCTTATTCAGGGAACTTGAATGAGAAGACAGTGACATTTTTAAGTTGATAGGTTAACAGAAGAAAAGGTTCATGAATTCTGAGGAAGGATAATGTGGTAGGATGGGAAGGTAAAAGGAAGGGGTAGCCTGCTTTATTGTTTAGATTTCTTTATGGGTTTTGAGATACTTTTAAAGCCTTGGACTTAAACGTTTTGAAAACCAAGTGTCCTTAGGGAATGTGAATGTGTGGATTCTGTTTATTAGCTCGGTGAACAAATAGCTTTATCCCACTGTTTAGTGTGTTATTTTTAAATGGAATTCAGTTTTGTGATTTCAGTGTACTTTTGTGGCATAAACACTTTTAGGAAACGCTGCTAGCAGCATTAATAAACCAAGTTAGACTTTATTCCATAGAACATTGAAGTCACATACCTGTGGGAAGTTTTTATTGAATTTTAAGTTTATATATGACAAGAAAAGTTGATTCATAGAGCAGCTGTGATTTAGCTGGATTGTTAACATTCAAAGTTGGTTGTGTATAGTATAGTGATCTTTGTAATGTTTTATGAGTGACAGTGTTCTACAGGAGCCATAAGACTTGTGTGTTAAAAGCACTCAACTACAATAATGTATTAACATAACAGATTTAGGTCCTAATTTTTTTTCCCTCTAAAAATTTGGTGCCAGTTTGAATCACATGACTTCAAATGCAAATTAGAGAATTGAGGAGGACTTTCTGCCTTCCCCCTAATTCAGAAGCAGGAGAAAAGCACTGAACATGGTTTGTATACCTACTTATCTTTCCCTAAAAAGTTTTTCCTTTGATCCTCTTCATTGGGAAACCGTAAAACAATATTTCTCCCCCTCTATCAGTATCTTTCAGTATAAACTGTAGTGGGCTATTAATATATTCTAAATGTTTATTTCATTTTTAGGGTTGGATTTTTATAAATCAGCTCAACACATACTTGAGTCCTGATTGTTTGCATGAAGGGTACAAACTGTGAGACCAGGTCACGTTTGAGATTTGAAGGCATAAACGCACAGCAGTTTAAGTGACTGCAAAATAAGAGTGAAAGCAGTGCATGTGCTCTGCTGTGATCTAGGACTGATCTAGGACCTAAAGCCGATTACGCAAAGCATTTAGGATTTGGCTAGGCTTTGAGAAGTAGGGAGAACATCCAGTTAGTTCAGAAGGCCTGAAGGCAGGAGTGTGCATAGATAGTACCCTCAGAGCACATGAGGTGACTATACTTCCAGTATAGGAAGGTTTCTAACAGGGAAAAATGCCAGTGGAAATGTGGTGGACCTTGGATATGAAACCAAGAACTTTTGACCATCTCGTTTTGTGTGTGGTTGGTGAGAAGCCTTTGTAGCCATCATGTCTGGTGACAATGTGTAAGGTGAATTGAAAACTGTAGGCCCCCGAGCCCAATTTTCTCTTCATTTTCCTTGTCCTTTGCTTTAATGAAGGAGTATGGATTGTGTTTCAAATTAAAGTTTTTAAAGCCTACAGTTCATAACTCAGCACAAGCTTCTCCATGAAAATCAGAGTATTAAAGAATACGCACATATAGGCCTGAGTTATTCATAGGTAACTGAAGTGTTTGGGCTTTGATAAGAGTCAGACTAGCTTGAATTCTGGTTTTGCCACCCACTGTGTAACACTGAACAAATCCTTTAACTTATAAGGCTCACTATTCTCATCTGGAAAGGGAAGCTGGTTTCTATCACCCTCTCAGGATTGTGAGCATTACATAAGAGAAAGTTTGGAAAGCTCCTAATACACTGCCTGGCAAATAGTAGACAATTCTGATAAATACCTTTGCCACCATTAATTGTTGTTATTAATCATACTCATGTACTAATTACTATGAATTATATTGTTTCCAGAACAGTGCATTCTGAATTTTGATCTTGTACTGTAGAAACACTCTTCCCATCTGGTTCAGAAAGAATCACTGTCCTGACCCACCCAAGTTTCAGGGCCTAATGGTGGTCTTTAGATTTTCTTTTTCTTTTTTCTAAGTGTCTTGCCTTGTCAATGAGGGCATGCCAAAAAAAAAAAAGCAGGAGGTCTGAGTGCCATAGAGAAGACACCATCTGCTGACAGTTGTAGGGGAGAATGATAAGCTTTGGATTTTTAGGGCTCATGCAGTATTAAGTTTTTGTTTTACATTGCTTTCCTACAGGTATGTTTTGTTAATTACTCTTTAATTACTGTTTATTGTCCAAAAATTTAGACTTATCTTTACTTTTCTCAGGTTTAAGCCGTTTTTTCCATTCCAAACTTCGCAAGGATTTGAAGAAGATGAAGAAGAGCATATCCATATACAGCAATGGGCACTTACGGAAGGCCGCCTTAAAGTTACATTGTTAGAATGTAGCAGGTATGTTCTTTGTTTCGTCATTGCTACATTATGGGAAAGAAAGTGCAGTGAAAATATATTTAAGCATGTTTGTGTTTGTTCCCCCTTTGTGTTAATTTATTATGTATGATCTGTAAATCTTTAATCATAAATTTCATAAAACTAGCCCTTTCCAGCTTGCAAAAAATAAAACCATATTTTAAGAAAGCATTCTAATGGAGAGGATCATTTGTCCTTCATTAATTCCCAGACTTTTTAGATGTTTGATGCTCTGTTGGCATATTTCTAATTTACTAACTCTTGGAGAGCTGTTTATAGTATAACATTTTTGAGACTTATATGTGATAATTGAAAATACCAATCAGAAATGCTTAGAAAGCCCTGTGATTCTTAAAATTTTAGAGCTGAAAGGGATCTCAGAAATAATCTTGCCCGGCCTCCTTATTTTACTTTGCCTGCCCTATAGTCTAAACTGTGTTCATATCTTGCTTAAACTACTTACTACACTAAGCTCCTTACTTTTCTCCTAATACTGGTTACAGATATAACCACCAGAATGGCCTTTTTAAAATGCAAATTTTCTTGTCACTTTCCTACTTAAAATTCTTTAATGGCTTCCCCGTTACTAGAATATAGACCCAAATCCTTGCTATGGTCTACATGCCCCTCTTGCCTCTCTGGCTTCTTTCTCCTCTCAGCCCCTCACTCAGAGTGCCTCAGCCACATAGGCTTTCCTAAAGGAAGATGTTGGTAAACTTTCTCTCTCAAGGGCTAGATAGTAAATATTTTAGGTTTTACGATTCACATGGTCTCTGTTGCTTGGCCATATAGTATGAAAGCAGTCATAGACAGTACATGGTATGGCTGTGTACCCATAAAACTCTACATATGAATTTCATAATTTTCATGTGTCGTGAAATATTCTTTTAATTTTTTTCAATCATTTAAAAATGTGAAAACCTATGGTAGTTTATAGGCTACACAAAAACAAGCAGGGGGCTGGATTTGGCCCATGGACCATAGTTCACTATTCCCTGCCTTAGATATTTTACCATACTAAGCTTCTTTTGTTGACTCCCCACCGTTTTCCAGGCTGAAGGCCCTACCCCATTTTCTGCTTCTTGAAACCAAACTTCCTAGATCGACTTCAACACCTGCCTCTTTAATGTGTCTCCTGATCATTTCAAGTACAAGTATACCGCCCTTATGCTACATTTCTATGACACTTGTTTGTACCACTTATTTGGTACTTATCACTTTTATTTTTATTTCCAGCCCATAATAAAAACAAGTGCCTGAGTATACAGTTATATTTTGTACCTAATATATTTGTGTCCTTGCTAATAGGTTAATTTTAAGTATACTAAGAATGTGCTAAACAGTTTTTTTGTTTTGTGTTGGAATAATTCAGTATTGTACATCATTATGTCAGAAAGACTGTTTGAAAAGGAATTCTCTTATCAAAGACTAAATATGCTGTAGATTTTGTAAAAGGGACTGTAGTGTACAGTTAAATGACACAGTAAAAGCACAGCTCTACACAAGTCTGAATTTGAATTGGCTAAGCTAATATGGTATGTAAGCATGAGTATTAAATATCTAATTATAATTTGGGTTTGTCACATTAACATTAGGAAGGACATTTTTCAAGTGATTTGTGTCTAAGGAAATTTTGACCAGATGTTTTTTTTTCTTTCAGTGAATTTTCTTGTAGATTCACATTTCTTGTAGATTCACAATCATACCATTGGATTATCTTTTCCAAAATAGTCATAGCAACTTTTAAACATTAGAAGGGCAATTTTGGACAGAATTTCTTAACTCTCCTGTATTTACCTACTCATCTACCCTTCCCCAAACCTGCAAAGATAGCCTTGAAGATTTATTATTCACTTATTCAACATACATTTGTTTACTGTGATGTAGATGATGTGTAATAAAGAGATAATGTGCTAGGAATTTTTATTTATTTTTTTAAGATTTTATTTATTCATTTGAGATAGAGAGACAGAGCACAAGCACGGGGAGAGGTAGAGGCAGAGGGAGAAGGAGAAGCACACTCCTCGCTGAGCTGGGAGCCCGACATGGGGCTCGATCCCAGGACCTGGAGATCATGACCTGAGCTGAAGGCAGGCGCTTAACCGTCTGAGCCACCCAGGTGCCCCCCCCCGCTTTTTTTTAGATTTTATTTTTTCTTTTAAGAGTGTGCCAGGAATTTTTAAAAAACTAGTTCTTTTACCTTAATGTTGCTGGTGGGGTTATAGATTGATTATATCTTGGGAGGAAGCGCACTATTTAAAGCGTTTTCCAGTCACTATCTTTATAAACCCCACCATGTAAAGTTAGCTAGTATTGTGGTCCTGTGTTATTTTCACACAGTTTAAGGATTACTTAAAATTGTTTATGAAGGAAAGAATAAATTACTGTTTTCTACTCATCCCTGCCTTTTTTGTCTTCAAATTGAATTCTAACATTCATTCTCATTAAAATCTTACCTACATTGTTTTTCTTCTAAACTTTTTTCTTAGTATAAAAAATAGACTTTTCAGGTCAGATAGATTCCAGGTTTGTAGGATATAAACTAAAGAGGACATATTATTGTAATCTAAGCATTTATATTTTAATAATTTTTCCTGCTCCTGAATGTAAACTCATTTTGTGTGATAAATTATAAACTCTAAAGCAGAAAGAAAGTGACACTGTAAAGGAAGTGGAAGAAAAAATAAGTGCCCTTTTTTTGGAGGGAGGACAAAAAAATATGCTTATTTCAATTTTTGAAACTTAAAGGTTTAAGACCCTTGAGATATTTTTTACCATGACTACCTCGTTTAGTGATATGAAAAGGTTTGAGGCAAAAGAATAAAATTATTGAATGATCAAATTTTTAAGAGAACATAAACATTTTTTTTAAAGATTTATTTATTTTAGAGGGAGAGCACATGCTTGGGGGAGGGACAGAGGGAGAGAATCTTCAAGTGGACTCCAAGCGGGCACAGAGCTTGATCCCACGACCCATGAGATCATGACCTGACACTCAACCCACTGAGCCACCCAGGTGCTGCAAGAACATAAACATTTAAAATTAAAACATTTCTGTGGACCATTTGTATGAGGATAAAGTTGTTTTGAATTAGCATGCTGTCATGAGTTAAAGTTTCCTGGGTTTTTAGCTTTTAGACATGCATATTTACATTTCTCTTGCTTGAAAGAGACCTACATGTTCAAGTTGTTATAATGTCATATGTATCATTTACTATTAATAGTTTTAGGTTAACATTCTTATGATGCTTATTTCGTAGGCTTTTAGAACTTGACCTTGAATCTGGTAAAAATAATAGAACTTCAGTAATTTTTTCCCAAGTCCATAAAATAGAACATCAAACTCATTATCCCCAGACAACCATAGTTCTCTATGAGGATCTCTTTTTCTTTCTTAAACTTTTAATTTGAAGTAATGGCTGTGTTGTGAGGACGTTTTTTAAACTTTATTTTGTTGTAGTTTCACGCTTACAGAGGGAAATGCATTTTTAAATGCATTTTGCCGATGAAACAAATCAGAAGTATCCATAGAAAACAAACTTTACTGAAAATATTGGAGTTGTGGAAATAATACTGGCATTTGAGGTAGAAAGTGCTGTGTTCATATCTTAGCCATGTGCTCTTATTGCTATATGTCCTTAGACAAGTTGCACATCTCTAGAATGGGCAAGGATGCTTGCTGCCTTGCTGTACCTATTCAGAGATAGGTACATAACCCGCAGTGCCTACTGCATAGCAAGCCTTCGATAGATGTAGCCTTTATTTTTTTTTTAAGATTTTTATTTACTAATTTGAGAAAGATTGTGCAAGTGATGGGGGGAGCGGGGTTAGGAACAGAGGGAGAGGGACAGGCAGACTCCATGCTGAGCGAGGAGCCCAGTGCGGGGCTCTATCCCACAACCCTGAGGTCATGACCTGAGCTGAAATCAAGAGTCAGATGCTCAACACACTGAGCCACCCAGGCACCCCAGTAGTCTCTATTATTATGCCTTAATATAATCATAGTATTTATCAAGAAGAAAACAAATCTTTAAACAAAAGTATATTTTTCTTTGTGTGTTTGGTTGTGAAAACTGGAATTTTTTTAAGATTTTATTTATTTGAGAGAGAGAGAGCATGAGTTGACAGAGGGAGAGGGAGAAGCAGACTCCCCACTGAGCAGGGAACCCCATGCAGGGCTCTATCCCAGGACCCTGAGATCAAGACCCGAGCTGAAGGCAGACACTTAACGGACTGAGCCACCCAGGTGCCCCCTGGAATTCGAATTTTATTACTTTAAAAGGGTCTCACGGTGTAAAGGGAAGTTATTTTCTAATTATCTGAAATATAGTTTTGAATTTCCTGATTAAAATCTTGGGAGCAGAAACACAACTTCACTTGTAAAAATTGGTTCTAACACTTTGTATTTGTCAAATTTTTTTAAAAACAGTTATTCTGAATTTTTTTTGCGTTGACTATAGCTGATTTTTTTTAACCATAGATGAACTCAATTGCTGTATTCATAGCACTGCTATTAGACTAAATTAAACATTTGCGTTGCAATCATATTAAGATTATTTTTAGATTTACAATTTATCTCATAAATTATATTCCATCTTAAAGGATTTTTGGTATTTTGCAGAGAAACTATATGCCCATGTGCAGTTAAATAGAAGATAAATTATATAAAAAATAACCATATAGAGAAGAAAAGATCAATTTTCTGCAGCAAAGGAAACTTGATGGATTACTTAGCTCTTATTTTCTGGTATACTGTACATGTTCTTCAGGGGAAAAGAAATTCTGGCACCAAATTCTAGATGGCATTTGTCATATACATCTTTATGTTAAAAGACATTGATATAATAGATATATTTTCTTTTCTTTGGCTTATTTTATCAGCCAGTTACATTTTAAACAAACTAAGATTGTAGTTGTTGAATGCAAAGCCTATGAAATTTTGTTGTGTGAAAATTCTGTACTCTAAAGCAGTATATTTAGGA